GGTGTCTTCCCTCCAGCTGGAGCTACTGGGGGCTCTTTTGTAGCAGCTCGTGCGGGTGATCTGGCTGCACCACGTGGACGTCCTCTGCCTCTACCCCGGCTCTGACCTCTCGCGGCTCTAGCAGGGGGCGGGGGTGCCTGTCATCACATCCGTTTATACGTGTCCTCACCATCTGTGAGAGAATATAATACAGACATTTAGAATTTTTGAAGTCGACAATTTTCGCACGACAAGGAATCACGTAGTGAAATTTTCCAAACAGTTCCATAGCCTTCAGAAGATAAGTACATATATCTTCGTACCGATCCGCGAGACTCTAATAAACCGGTTTGTGACTCACGACACTTATGAACCTAGAGCTCTGATACCAACTTGTCACGACCCAAATTTCCCCTCCATATGTCATCGTGACGGTACCTAGTCTCTACGACTAGGTAAGCCTAACATTTGCTGAATAATAAAATGAAAACATAAATTTATTAACTAACTGTAGCAGTAACAACATAACTGGGTACCATGCCGCCTGGCATGTACAATAACCAACTATTCAAAAATACACAGAAATTCCAAAACCCGGAACATAATAAGTCACAAGCTAGAGAAAGAAACTAGTATCTCTATACACCAAAATCTAATAATAGAAGTAAGGAAGGTAAATGACATAGGAGGGAATAGAGGGGGACTCCGAGGTCTGCGGATGCGGAAAATATACCTTGAAGTCTCTGTACACCAACAAGCACTCTCATCTAGTAGCGGGGCTGATAACAAGTACCTGGATCTGCACACAAAATATGTGCAGAAGAGTAGCATGAGTACACTACAACGGTACCCAGTAAGTGCCAAGCCTAAACTAAGTCAAGTAGTGACAAGATCAGGTCACGTCCCTATTGGTATATAAATAATAAACTAAGACAGAATGAAATATTGTAGTAAAACAAGTGCTGAAATTTAACAAAGAATGAATTCATAGAAAACAACAGCTCAGTACATAGAGATAACAACAGGGAATCTCCCGAGATACCGTCTCGTAGTTCCAAACGTAAAAGTGCAGGGGGATCTCCCGGAATACCGTTCTGTAGTCCCAAAGTAAATATGCAGTACATGGGGATATTCCGGAATACCGTTCCGTAGTCCCAAAGTAAATATGCAGTACAGGGGGATCTCCCGGAATACCGTTCTGTAGTCCCAAAGTAAATATGCAGCTAAACAATAGAATTCAACAGTCACGGCACGAAATGCTACAGTTCAACCTAAGTACTAGTTAAGGAAAAACAGGTAAATTCACTAAACATACTGCACGTAGTTCAAGTAAACAGTTAGGGCAAGTAGANCCCAAATCTAGCCAAAAGCAATTACATATTATAAATACAACTATAATAGACTCATCTAATTAATTAAATCAATACATTAACAAAAATTCCGAAATTCACCCTAAAAATTCGACCCGGGCCCACGACTCGAAATCGGGTAAAAGTCACAAAATCCGAAAGCCCATTCACTCACGAGTCTAACCATATCAAATTTACTAAAATCTGACACCAAATGGTCCTTCAAATCCACAATTCAAACTTTCCAAATCCTTAGTCTCAACTCCCAAATTCCACCTTAAATACACACTAACTAGATGAAAAAATAAATGGGGAAGCAAGATTATTGATCAAAATAAGCACAAGGGACTTACCTCAAGAAATCTCTTGAAAATGCTCTAAACAATCGCCCTAAACCGAGTTTGCAAAGTCTAAAATGACAAAAATCGCGAAGCCCTTCGGTTTTAACCATTGCCTAGGTATTTTCGCACCTGCGGAGCCTAGGCTCGCACCTGCGTGTGCGCTTGTGCGGAAAATGTGCGCATCTGCGCAAATCACTTACCCCCTTCTGCCTCCACACCAGTGATAAAGGGCCGCACCTGCGCGTGCGCGCCTGCAGAAATTCTTTGTGCACCTGCGGTCTCAGCTCAGGCTGCCCAAAATCCGCTTCTGCGCCAATTTGCTCGCACCTGCGGGCAGCCTTGTGCAAGTGCGATTACAGCAGAACCAGCACCAGAAAAATCTTTCAAGTCCAAAAATGATCTGATAATCATCAGAAACTCACCTGAGGTCCCCTTGTGACCTCAACCATACAAACTTAGTCGAGCCTTTAAACCACATCAAACAATGCTAAAATCACAAATCATCCTCCGATTCAAACTTAAAGAACTTGAAACTTCCAAATTCGACAACCGATGTCGAAACCAACCAAACCACGTTCGATTGACCCCAAATTTTGCATACAAGTCATATTCAATATTACGGACCTACTATAACTTCTGGAATCGGAATCCGATCCCGATATCAAAATTTTCACTACCGGTCCAAATATTCAAAAATTTGCCTTTTGCCATTTCAAGCCTAAATGGGCTACGGACCTCCAAAACACAATTCGGACACGCTCCTAAGAACAAAATCACCCAATGGAGCTAACGGAACCAACGAAACTCCATTCCGGAGTCGTCTTCATACAGTTCCGACTACAGTCAAAATCTTAAGACTTAAACTCCCGTTTTAGGGACTAAGTGTCCCGGAACACTCCAAAAACCAAAACGAAGTCTCCCGACAAGTCACAATAGCAGAAATAGATGCAGGGGAAACAATAAATAGGGGATCGGGGCTATTACTTTTAAAACGACTGGCCGGGTCGTTACACATTCTTAGCTTTTCTATATAATAGAAATATATGAAGTTATATTATGTGTGGGCAACTTCCAAATAAATAATATAAAGGTTTCAAAGTAAATAATTTTAATATGTAAAAATAATTATTTCCGTAAAAAATATAATTAAGTATATTTAAAATTTAATAATTAAATTATATAAAATTTATTATTTTCACGATATGTAGTGGGATAAATTGACATTTTTTTAGTTTTTTATTTTTGTTTTTTTTATTTTAAAATAATTTAAAGCTCCATCTTTGTCATTTTAACTCAAAAACGCTTTCTGATTTGAAATTCTAATAAATGTTATCATTTTATATTTCATACCATTTTTTCTTCTTTTGTTTCTTTATCGTTATTGATTTATTTGTTACTCACTATGATTGCACTATCATGTGATTTTTTTATTATTTTATTTTTAGATTTAATGTCCTTGCTTATTACCTCCTTTAATATAACATAGATAATATTAATTTCCTACTCCTAACAAAGTTGATTATTAATTTAATACTCCTTTACTTGGAATTCATTCATTGTTCTATATCTTTTTTTTATTTTTGACTTTATCTATATACAAAATCTAGAAATGATATAATCTAATAAGAATATTAAATATTGTGTATTTTAGCTTTTAATTTTTTAGCACTCCAAATTATCTATACAAATCTATAATATAGATATAGATTAAATTTTGCCATAAAATCTAGTTAAATTTTAGCCTTTAAAGTGCGAAGTAGCATTTTCTCTATATGACACTTGACTTGACCTCATGCTTCACTATCACTCTTTTAATATAATATATGAAGTTATATTATGTGTGAGTAACTTCCAAATAAAAAATATAAAGGTTTCAAAATAAATAATTTTCAATATATAAAAATTATTATTTTTGTAAAAAAATAATTAAGTATATTTTAAATTCAATAATTAAATTATATAAAATTTATTATTTCACGATATGCAGTGGGATAAATTGACATTTTTAGTTTTTTTTTAATTTTTAAATAATCTAAAGGTTGTAGCTTAATTTTTTTATTGTTCACAATACTTTAATTTTCTAAATTTATCAATAATATCTTTGTGTATTATTTACTTGATTTAATAGAACCTAAATACTATCATATTTAAATTAATTCAAAGTTAAAATATCCTAATATTATCTCTATTTTCATATAACCTAAATACTATCATATTTAAATTATAATTTTTAATTTTTTAAAAATATAAGCAGATAAGTAGTTTTACTATTTCGTCATAATTTACTGATTTTTTAAATTATTTTTGCATTATTTGCCATAAGCAAATGAACTTTTATTTGATCTCAACTCAAATATTTTTGTCTATAAATTTAAAATAATATTTTTATCTTTAAATTTGAAATCAAACTATTTCCTGTATCAAAAAATTTGTAATATTTTATAGATATAGACTACTAGAAACTACTCCTCAATTTGAAGTGACAATTTTTTTCTTCTTCTTATTTTCGTTTTTATTTTAGAATAATTTTAAAACTCCAAATCTATTAACTCAAAGAGAATAACTAATTATTAACAACAGATAATGCATGATTTAAATTTTTTAAAATTTAAATTCCAAAAAAAAAAATTAACTAGTACCTAACCTAACTAACTATATCCTAAATTGCCAAGTGACCTAATGTGAGGTGGTCACTTGTCTTAATGTGAATGTTTTTTTCTCTCCTTTTAATAATATAATATAGATATAGATATAGATATAGATGCACATTGGATAAGTTTTCTACAAAGTACTACTGGATTTACATGCCTTAAAAAGTTAAAACGTAAATGTGATCTAACAAAAGGCAAACAAACCACAAAAAAAGGGAAAAAAGGCGAGAAATAGTCTTTTTTTTTCTTTTATTTCTTTTATTTTATACCAAGAGAGAAATAGACGCGCAAAAGAGAAAAGGTCCAAATTGGTCCATGTATTATTTGAAATTGTCCAATTTTGCTCTCTGTTACACTTTTGTCCATTCATATCTTTGTGCAAGCAAATCTGTCTTATATTTGTCCTTGCTATTAACCAACTCCAACATAAAATAAGTAGATTCCATGTGCCAAAATATTACAAGAAAAATAGTTCAAAATTTATCCTTCAAGTTTTTACTGTAGTTTAGAATTACTTTCCGATTGGATTTTAGAATTAAAAAAAAAATCTAATGGTTGAAGTAAAATATTAGACCAAAAATTTATAGGAAGGTGAATTTGTCAATTTTAGATAATACTACATGAATCAATTTGACCTTAGAAAAGATGGGCAAAAAGAAAAGAACGAAAAACAATAGGGGGAAGTCTAAAAGGAAAAGAGAATAACAGGTAGGTATTGGCTATGGACTGATGTTCACTTCTCAAGAGTCAAGAGAAACATCGAAGAGGAACAACTCCAATTCCAAATTGTTCCATTTGAATCTGAACTCTAGAAAACAAACACATAACCTAAAACCCTAATTCTCTATGTATTTTACATAGAGAAAAAACCTCAGAAATGTGCTCTTCTTTAATTATCCCATCTTCTCTTACCTTTTCACCTAATTCCCATTTCATCTACCGTCAAGATTCCATTTTTCCCTCACACCCATTTCTCCTTAGGCCTAAAACTCCTAAATTTTCACTCTTTGCTTCAGTTTCAGAAAAAACTTCAGAATTTTCTTGGGGTTTATCTGATCCAAATGCCTTTAACGAGTTCAATGGTTGGGACTTTGTTGAACCTCCAGTTATCAAGAAGAAGAAGCAACAAAAAGGTTACTTTTTTAATTATAATTGTTTAAAATGCTTTTACTTTTTGTCATTAGAAAATATACAGAAAATTCTACTGCTTTTTTACTTTTATTTTTATTGTTGTTTTATTGTGGATATTATTGGCGTGAGATGAGTTTATATGAAGTAACATGGTTCAGGTAGGATTCATATAGCCGACCCCAACTTTTAATGTAGCTTTCATGTCACTTGAGCCTTCTTTCTTGGTTGTGCATTTGGAAAGAGATTGAAATTACTTAATCAATTGCTAAGAAAACATCAAATAATATGACTTTGGACTCTGAAGTTGAGCTTAATCTTGGGGCGGGCCCATCATATACTGAGTTTAAAGGTGCTCCACTAGCCCTCGAGGATTTCTGAGTTATAAAAGATATTGAGCTTAATCTCCCATTTAAACTTTTTAGTTACAAACTTAGTCAAAAGTTCAAATCTTCAAGTGTTCTGAATTAGCTAAATTTTTTAGTTAAACTCTTCAACAGTTGAACAAATAAGGAAGTGGTTGGAATTTCTGATTTGATTAGTGAGGATAATAGCAGTTTTTGGGGCTTGTGACAATCCTCGATTAGATGCTAAGACCCAAAGGAAAACTCTATGTATGTATGAAAAATCATATGAAAGGGTATTTTGGTATATACAAAATGGGGTCGAAGAGTCATAGCTTTTCATTGATTGACTTTTTGAGGTTGGTATAAATAAAAATTTAATCTTGTGATTTATTTGAGGATTGAGGGAATTAGAAACTGTGTTTTTGCAGGTTTGTCAAAATTTTTGGTTATTGGCATGTCAGTGTCTCTTGCTGCTGGACTTGGTGTTGCTTCCTACTTTTCACTATACCAAAAAGGTGAGATCTTGGGGGATAGTTTTAGCATTATGGGATTGCAGGATTGCTTTTATTACTTGGTAGTTTCTAGTGTTATTGTAGAAGTGTAATTCAGTTTTTGGGTTGCTTGTTGCTTCTTCTAGGATTCAAATTTCAATTTACTGGGCCATTCGGTGGATTGCATGATAAGTTAGTACCTAATGAGGCTGCTAGTAAGGCAGAAGATGACGAAACTGCTGCTGATTTGTTGATGGAAAGTGCTCAGATTTCTGAAACAATCGAGCAGGGTGTTTCTGATTCCGATGATAAAAATGTTGCTGTGGGTAAGTTTTAGAGCTTGATGATTACCTTAAGTGGCGTTAAGCACGACCAAATGCTTGTAAAAGTAATTGACTTGTTTTCTTTCTTCCTTTGAACTAGTCTCATGGGAAATGCTAGTATTTGCATATAATATCTGAATCATGTAACGGCACTGCTTTAGAGTTCTTATTTGTGTCTGGGGTAAAATGCTTATTTCGGACTCTCTTCCTTCTTTGAAATATAGTTGGTTTGCTTGCCCCCTTCCCATCCTTTGTTGTATGACTGTCTACCAAACGGCTATTTTTAGCTGTTTAGCCTTTTCATTTTTTGGGCCAGAACTGTAATATCCTATTCAGAGGCCTAATCTCTGTTTTCTGTCCTTCTCTTTTTATTTTTTCCTTACTATCCTGGTTTGCTTGGCTTGGTGACTTTTCCAACTAAGCCTTCATTTTGGGAACGTTCTCCAATGAAGACAAATTAAATCATGCAGAAGAACTAAGTGGCCTTGACTAATTGCTGAAGATTGTTATTATCCGTTATGATAGACCATAGTTTGTTGAACTTTCTTTTTTTATATACATAAATTGGTTCTTGAGCTTTCTGATAACATATAAGATGCTGAATTTATCTTGAAATTCACTCCTTGGGTGAAAAAAAGGAAGGGATTAAATTAAGAAAGAAATAATTAGTGTCATACCAAACAAGCCTCAGTATAGTCTGCTTAACTGGAAACAACACCAACACCACCAACAACAAACCCCAGTGTAATCCCACAAAGTGGGGTCTTGGGGTGGGGGTGGGGTGTACGTAGACCTTACTCTTGCCTTGTGAAGGTAGAGAGGCTGATTCCGTTTGCTTAACTGGAAACAAGGGCAGAAAATACATGCTGCAAAAAGAGAGCTAAAGAAGCAAAAGTCCTACCAAAAGAGCTGGAAATATGTGCAAGAGAAAGAAATCTCAGCAGCAATTGAACTGAGTAATAACTGAAATAAGAGATGAGTTTTCTACAATAAAAGGCCATCTCTTTATAGCTACTCTAAAGCCCAACCCAGATCCTGTGAAACCAAGACTCCTTTTCTAGGTAATAAACCGAAAAGAGTGGAATAACTCTTGAATCTTAAACCAACTAGGAAACTGATAAAATAAAAGAACTCCTGAAACAACTTTCCATCCGCAACTATTAATAATTTTCCTGGAAAATGTACACCAACAATATTCTGATTTCTTTTCTGCTCTTTTCTTTACATCAGTAAAAGTAACTTCTATGCTAGAGTCCTACCATGCAAGTTTAAGTTGACAAAGTTCTTTTTCATTTTATTCTCTTCCGTAATTTGAAATAGAAATGATATGTGAAGACAATTAAATAGAATTTCTCACTCAAGGCAGGTCAGCAGTCACCCATGTTATGTCATTAAGTTAGAGTTTTATTTGGTACTTACTGTTAGACTGCCTTTTTCCTTTTCCACTTTACTTGCAGTAATGTGTGTACCGGTTTCTCTTTTGTTGAATTACTTTCAGTGGTCGCAGTCCTGTTGATAAGCTTTGATTATGATTTTATTCCTCACTGGCCTAAACCTCTGGTTCTGTCATTTTGAAGAGACAAGCCATGTTACAACTAAAGCAGTAGCTAGAAGAGTACTTGGACGTATTACAATTCCCTTTGCTGTAGATTCTACTCAAGAAGAAGCTCTTTTCGTGCTGAAGAAACTCAAGGTATAGTCCCCTGACCTTTATTCCATTTGAGAGCAATAAGCTCTCCTGCTGTACTTGTACATTTGTTTTTCCAGAGCTATGCTTTATTATGGACTTAGTTACAGTTTATTTTACTTAAAGTGCGACCGGGTTTGAACTGCACGATAGCCATAAAGCTCTGTACTGCACTACTAAGTCAGACCAGAAGCAGCATATTTTCCAAGATATGCTATGTAGCGTAGGTACTGGATGGCGCCAATAATTTAAAGCTAACGCACAGCTGCCAGCTTTAGAGAAGGAACATTTTACTGTTCATCCTGAATCATGAGTATTTCATATTTCCTTCTGTGACGAGTGTGAAATGGGAGACTTAGAGAAGCATAGTAACATCCTCAGGAAAGGCAGCCCAAAGAAGTGACGGTTGCCTTGATACTGAAGTTAGAAGAAGGAAATGTGATAGCTAGTAGGTTGCACATTCAAACTGGACTGTGGTTCTTTCCCCATCTCCCCTTTTTAGGATACATCCAGGATTATGAATAATATGTATGTTTGCATCCAAGGGTGTGGCTTAGTGGTCATTGAAGTGAGTTGAGAACCATGAGGTATCAGGGTTCAAATCCCAGTGGAGGCAAAAACACTAGGTAATTTCTTCTCACCTGTCTAAGCCTTGGTGGACAGAGTTACCCGGTGGCTGTGTTGATGGGAGGTAGCAGGTACCCCATGGAATTAGTTGAGGCACGTGCAAGCTGGCCCAGACACCACGGTTACAAAATAATGAATAATATGTTTGCTCCAGTGAAAACTAGCATGTTATATATGTTGTAGGCTTTATTGTCATTTATGGCGATTTTACCTGATAATCTTATCCTCCTTCGCTGTAGTTCACCCTTCACTCGATGGTTTAGGTTTGGTTCTTAGCATGGCTTTGCCATTATACTGTGAGGTATAATTGGAAATTAGGTTATCACATTGTAGTCTTATTGTCAATTATTGTGACGTTACCCTCTAAATCAATTTGTACTTCTCTCATCTGGAAAATTTTTATTTGTGCCTCTCTCTCTCTGTCTGACGTCACTCGATGGTTTAGATTCGGTTCAAGCATAGTTTCACCATTATAATCTAAAGTATACAGATCATTGAAGATGATGTTAAAGCGGATGAATTATGTACAAGGAGGGAATATGCAAGATGGTTAGTTAATGCAAATACACAACTGGAAAGGTAATTTTGAATCAACAACATTTGTCTGGATAGTTCTTTTGTTACAACAAGACGACAATGTGAGTACCCTTTCTTCCTAACCATTTTCTCTTTGACTTGTAGATGGAGAAAGCATCGGATAGTTCCATCAGTTGTGCTTTCTGGGTCTACAGTAACTGCCTTTGATGATGTGAGTGTTGAAGACCCTGATTTTGCCGCCATTCAGTGTAAGCTTGACATGTTGTTACCCAAGCGTAATATACAGCATTATTCAAAGAGCTAATATTTTCAGTTTTTTCCTTACAAATTGTGATCCAGCTCTTGCTGAAGCTGGTATTATTCCTAGCAAACTGTTAGATCGGGAGTTTGCTTCCACTCCAAATGTTTCAGAAGATCAGGGCATCTGTTTTTTCCCCAATAGGTATTTTGATGTTTGGCTCCCCTGCCTTATCCCTTCCCTTTTTCTTGTTTTTCCCACTTCATTTCATTTCTCCCTAGTTACCTTGGTATGTGCTTCTACTTAATGTTTTGCTATTTCAGATTTTTGTCTCGCCAAGATCTAATTAGTTGGAAAGTCAAAATAGAGTATGAAGTCATGCCAGGGATAGACAAAGAGGTAGGGGAAGAGCCACGTTCCAGCTTTTATTCCAACTTTACTGACATTTTGGTGTCCTTTATCTGCCTGAATATCTGACTCTGTTTACAGTTCAGATATCAAGGAAGAATATAGGTTTTCTGGATGTGAGGGACATCAATTCTGAAGCTTTGGTGGGACTTTTTGTGGATTTACGGGCTGGTGAACGGAGTATTCTTCGAAGAGTTTTTGGTCTCTCTCTCTCTCTCTAAATAGTATACATGTTTTGTATATTTGGGCTAGCTCCTGTAATTATTTTCAGCCGACGGGCCAAAAATGAAAAAGCCCAAAAAAATATATGAGGAATTTAGTGCATACAAGACAGTCTTAAGTTCACTGAAAATATGAATTGGGAAGTTTGTTTATCGCCAATTTATTATCATTTTACAGGACAGGCGAAACGATTCCAGCCTAATAAACCATCCACAAAGGCTCAGGCAGCTGTTTCACTGACAAGTGGGAGAATGGAAGAGTATATACAAAGTGAACTGTCAAAACTTGAAGCAGAAAATTCTTCAAGACTAATGGCAATGGAAGAAATCAAGACTGTGCTTCTTGATAGAGGAGAAATACAGAGGATTTGGGAGAGTAAAATGGAAGTAGAAAGAAGTCGTGGTTTCGAGGTAGAGTGGGATTATCTTGCTTCTGTTAGAGATTTAGAAGAGGAAAAGATTGTACAAGAGAATGCTCAAGCTGATCTTCTGAAGCAGAAGGCAGCTTTAGACTGTCAGAAGCAGCTACTTTCTAGTCTTAAGGAAGAGGTCGATGAGATGTCCGAAAGGCTTGCTTTTGAGAAGTCTAAGCATGTCGATGAGCAGAGTAATTTAAGTGGTACGCTTCAAGATTTGCAGGTTAAGCATGAAGCTTTGCTTGATGCAAAATCTTTGTTGGAAGCTGAGATCGAAGCTTTGCGAAAATTGAGGTACAAATATGTTAACTTTAAGCTTTGGTTTACTTATGTGTCTTGTTATATCCTTTAGTAGGGAATGGAGTTTCTAAACGTAGAAGTTCAGTGAATGTTAAATAGCTCTAAGAAGTTTGACTAATCTTGCGAAGCATACATCTGCTGTATAGCGCATAGATTGCAGACCGCATAAGAGTGAGATATTTGTAGAATTTCGACTCTAGATAATATGTGGTGTTTGACAATGCATGTTTTATCGAAACAGATCATGGGTCGAGGATGAAGCGAGAAGAAGTCAAACCCGTGCTAAAGTTCTCGAGGAGGTTGGACGAAGGTGGAAATGGGAGGAGCAATAGGGGTGTCCTATAAATGAAATAATCCAGCTGCTTTAATATACACTTTGTCAATGTCATGGTCATTTTTCCTCTTAAATATTTCCTTGGCAGCAGCTTGTAAACTATTAAGAGTTGTTCTCTTCTCTGCCTCTCAATTAATATTTTTGGATGGGAATCGTAGATCTTGTGTAATCTGTCACTAACAGAAAGAAATTTCAAGGAATTGAAGAGTAAACTTTTGTTGTGTATTCGTGGATACATCCAAGATGTAAACATTTTGAGCCTCCTCGGAGTAGTAGTTAAAGCTATGACATAAAAAAGTTAGTGTTTATGCATGAATTAATCAACCTTTTGAGTTCTTTTGTCTCCTTTTATTATACAGTCAAACCGTTCTATAACAACTTTATTTGTTTCGAATTTTTTTGATTGTTATAGCAAAGTGCTATTATTAAGAATATACATATTATAAAAATTGGTTTCGTAAAAACTTTGACTTTTATAATGAATGACTATTATATATGGTGGTGTTATAGAGAGCTCTGACTGTAGTACTAAAAAGAAACAGATTGAGGATTATTATATTGTAGGCAATTGGCATCTCTTCTCGCTTTTAGCTACTATAGAAAAACATCTTCTTCACAATTGATGCCTCGATTGAGGTAAAAATGGCGTGGGTTAATCACTATTTAATGTGGTATTTATTTTTTATCCAGCAATTCTAATGTTGAGTAAAAATAGCCACTACTCTATGAAAAGACATTTTTACCCTTTCTTCCTAAATCCTCGCTTCTCTCTCTCAAGTTCGATGCATAGACATGTTTTTGTGGATGCATATGTTGTTTGAGATGAAAATGTTGAATTGGGTTTTTTGATTCTTGTGAATTTGATGGCTTTGAACAGTTACGAAGATGAAAAATGATATCTTGCTATTTTTCTAACGAGGGTCAGCTTTGTCTTGTTTCGTGTGATTGCCACCTTTATTCGGTTTTTGCCTTCAATTTTATGCATGGATTCAATGCTGAATTGGGTGTCTGATTCTTGTTGATGCATGTGTTGTTGAAAGGATTTGGTCCTTAACTTATAGTTACAAGCACAGAAATTAAGGACAGGTAGTCCTTAACTTAGAGTTACAAGCACAAAAATTAAGGACAGGTAGTCCTGAACTTAGAGTTACAACTTCAAAAGTTAAGGACATGTAGTTCTGAAGATAGAGTTACAAGTTCAAAAACTAAGGACGGGTAGTCCATAACTTAGACTTACAAGCTCATAAATTAAGGACAGCTAGTTCTTAACTTAGAGTTACAAGCACAGAAATTAAGGACAGGTAGTCCTGAACTTCGAGTTCCAAGTTCAAAAGTTAAGGACACGTAGTCCTGAATTTAGAGTTACAAGTTCAAAAGTTAAGGACAAACAGTCCTAAACTTAGACTTACAAGCTCATAAATTAAGGACAGCTAGTCCTGAACTTACAGTAACAAGCTCATAAGTTAAAGACATTTGATCCTGAACTTTATGAGCAGAAGGGTATTTTCGTCCGGACGGGTAAAGTTTATTAAAGCAGTGGCTAAAGACTAAAGACATTTTAAATAGTAGCTTAAAAGTAAATACATGTCTTATTAGTGGCTATATGTGCACTTCCCCTCGATTGAGACTGTTGTCTCTTTGCTTAACTTTGGCCCATTCTTTGTTAAGTCAATCCATTCTCTTCTATGACTAGCCAGCTTCCACGAGCATGATTTATACTTGGATAAAAGCATATGCATCAACAAGACATAATATACATATCTTCAAAGAGAGTTATATATGCGTTAATGTCTTGAATACATTAGCGGGGGCCTCGAAGAGAGTTATCTTTTTTGTTTAACTTGCCGATAAAGAAAATGGCCCAGTCAAAATTAGGGTTAAACAGTTAAAAGTATACTGCTCATCGCATGGTATATGACGAGCATGGTATATGGTGCGCCCTTGGCGATCCTTGAAAATTCGAAGGACCAAGTGTCGTACACTCCCGATTATAAAAAGTAAAAATATTTAGCTAGCGTTTGGTCATAGATTCCCAAATTTATTTTGAAAAATTTGTTTTGGGTGAAGTTTGGCTTGAAGATGAAAATGTGTTTGGACATACGCTTTCAAAACATATTTCCCAAATTTATTTTGGAAAAACATGTGTATTATTAGGGATTTGACCAAAAATCAGCTATTGAGCTAGTTTTGGGATTTGGGATTTTGCCAAACTATAGGCAAAATCTATGACCAAACATGTGTTTGCCAAATAAAACCCAGGTTTATTTTGACAAAATTTATGGCAAAATCTATGGCCAAACATGTCTTTAAACTTATGTTTGTATGGTGAGGATTTTTTTGTTTCTTAGGGACAAAAGTATATCCAAATGTAACATACATGCCAAAAAGGTACTTATGTTGGGTAACTATGAAGTGTAAAGTTATCAATAATCTGATTTATGTGGGCTAATATAGTCCATACATAAGAATCCATATAAGCTAAGGCATGAATTAAATGTCTAATTTGCTCTTTTTGCTTCTACATGACAATCTTCTTCCTTTAGCCACCCCTTAGCTCAACTTTATTGTCAACTTTAAAGCAATTTTTGTAAGTACATTAAGCATTGGACCCTACAATTCATGTGGGTCCCTCCTTTAATATCACATTAATTTCTTCATTTAGAGCATTAAATCAACATTTTATTTCTAAATGGATTTTTGTATTGAAAAAACTAGTTTTATTAGATTGAGACAGGTTTCTAAACGAAGCGATATGAACAGTAAGAAATAAAATAGTCGATTCTAATGGTGTAATATTCCTTCCATTTCAATCTATGTAACATATTATCATTAAAAGTTATTTCCAAAATAATGGCAGGTCTCTATATTTGAGAATTATTTAACTCTAAATTTTTTATTTTACCTATTTTATCTTTAATAAAAAGTTTTTATAATCAAACAAATATTATAACGGCACAAAGCTTTTACTTCTAAGCTTTTAAAGATACAAATTTTAAAAATCTGTTTTTTTTAAATTTTTTTTATATTCAGTCAAACTATGTCGCACAAATAGAATTTAAAAGCAGTAATAGTAAAAGGCTTATCATCCTACTGACTTCTAGTGATAAAATTGACTCTTGTGGTCTGTAATCTAAGTTCTACCTACATAATTGGAAAACCCAAAAATGGACAAAATGCCACCTAGTTATCTAGACAATGGCAAAGAATATAATTGGACAGTATTCATGCATTAAAAGACAAATTTTTACTCCCAAATCTTTACCTTTAAATTCTTTTTAACTAAATTCCCTAACTAGTATAGACCTTGAGTGAGAATGCAGAAATCTTGGTTGATACTTATTTCATGTTCATATTTTTACTGTACTATAGTCCTTTTCAGCTTAAATATTCCTCTGATATCAACAAATATGTAAGTTTTAGACCCACCCCATATTCCAGAATTTCAATCTTGTTTGGACAAAGACTGACCACTCAAGAAACTGGTGGTTCTTGTGCCCGCTATGTGTTCGACACTTTGTCTATTAGACTTTCTAGTTATCAACAACTCTTTTGCATACAACCAAACTTTTTTTTTTCTTGATAAGATGATATAGCCATTAAGTTATTCATAGTGTTACTTTTTAAAGAGTTGTCTAAAACTGATAATTCTCTTTCAAGAATTGCACCATTTTTGCCTAGGCATCTTTTCCATTTTTGATGAGGCTATGGTTTGAGTTTTGAGCTATGGGGTTTGAGAAAAAATGGGTGGGGATTATTTTATGTTAGTAAATGATTTGAAGCTTCAATATTTTCCTTTTAAAATACCTACATGATAGTCAGGGTAGGTTTAGTGGTTGCTGCTTCTATAGCAGCCTATGCAGTTAAGCAGATAAATGTAAAACCCTCAAAGCCTTCAGGTAATTTTCTGCAGTCAGTTGTATTTGGATTGTTTTATTAAAGTTGCAAATAAGTAAAGAGGCTGCTAAATTAGTATAATTGGTTTTAAACATATTGATAAAACAGTATCTGTAAAGTTTCAATTTTTAATTGGAAAATCATCCAAGTGAGTGACTAGAGTGTGTTTTTTGTGGCTAAATTGTGTTTGTTTTATGAACGTTGGTGAACAGAAAATGGGGAACCATTGCCTGAACAACGAAGCTATGAAGGGGATGAAAAGGAGGAGCAGCTTTTGTATTCTACAGATGGCCCCAAAGAAGTGGTTGTAAGTATTTGTGTATAGAGAAATTTGTGTGCTTTAGAAACAATAATTTGTTGTCTTTAGAAAACAATAATTTGTTAGTCATTTGGAAATTTGTTTAATATATGACAACTTGTAGGATGAGGAAGAGGAGAAAGAAGAAGTGAAATTAATGAATGGAATTATAAATCCAGCACAGAGTAACCAGCTTGATCTTGATGATGATCTTTTCCCTGAATTCGAAGATCTTTTATCCGGGGAGATTGAATTTCCATTACCAAGTGACAAGTATGATACAGAAAGAGAAGAGAGAGAGAAGGTGTACCAAAATGAGATGGCCAACAATGAAAAAGAACTTGAAAGATTGCGAAATCTTGTTAAGGAGCTCGAGGAAAGGGAGGTGAAACTTGAAGGGGAGTTGTTGGAATATTATGGTTTGAAGGAGCAAGAATCAGATATCCTCGAGTTACAAAAGCAGCTCAGGATTAAGTCTGTAGAGATCGACATGCTCAACATCACTATAAATACTTTACAGGCCGAGAAACAAAAGCTTCAAGAGGAGGTTTTCAATGGAACTACTGCTCGGAAAGAGTTAGAAGCAGCGAGGAGCAAGATCAAGGAGTTGCAGAGGCAGATGCAGCTTGAAGCTAACCAAACGAAAGCTCAGTTGTTGTTGCTGAAACAACATGTTAGTGGACTTCAAGAAAAGGAAGAGGATGCTTTCAAGAGAGATGTTGAGGTTGACAAGAAGCTTAGACTTGTGAAGGAATTAGAAGTGGAGGTTATGGAGCTTAAGAGGAAGAACAAAGAACTTCAGCATGAAAAGAGAGAGTTGGTTATAAAATTGGATGCTGCTGAATCTAAAGTAGCAAACTTATCCAATATGACAGAGGTAAATTTAACTTCTGATACCAGTATTTTTCATGTAATTGATCTTTAGGACAATCTTTGTGTGTTTCCTGCGTATAGCTTTTCTTTCTTTTTATGCATCTGCTTTCTACTTTTCTAGTCTGCAAAAATGTTTTGGAAATGTAGAGCCAACTCTGAGCACCTTATTGACCCCCTTTTTCTGATTACTTCCCTTTTTTCGCCACGCTTATAAGTTGGTTGAGTCCGATGAATACTCCAGTG